GCAGCCCTGTGGGGCTTTTGGGGTCCTTTCTATGGAGAACCCCTCTCCAGCAGGTTTGGGTGTTTCTGAATCCCTCTTCAGCAGGTTTGGGTGTTTTTGGAACCCCTCCCATGGAGAACCCTTCTCCGGCAGGTTTGGGTGTTTCTGGAGCCTCTCTCCAGCAGGTTTGGGTGTTTTGGGAATCTCTCCTTTAGATAACTCCTCTCCAGCAGGTTTGGGTGTTTCTGGAACCCCTCCCATGGAGAACCCCTGTCCCATCAGGGGCTGAGGGGCTCATGACACATTCTGGCACTGCTGGCATCTGGAAGGTTTCCCTGGAAATGCCTTGCAGTGCTGATGTGAAACACGGCTCAAGTGCCCCATTAAAGGAAGTTCCCAAATCTGCAGTCTCTGTTGTTCCTCTGCCTGTCCAGCATGCTGGGGACTCCTCCCAGGGTTTCTCTTGGCCCCTTTGTTTTGTCACTGAGAGCACCACAGGAAGGCTTTGGAGAGGAGAAGATGAAGGATTTGTGCCAAAGCAGGTGAGGAAAACTCTTCCAGAATTCCAGAATGGTTTGGATTGCCAGGGACCTTAAAGACCGTGCAGGCCCATCCCTGCACTGGCACCTGAAATTAGATGGATTATGGATTATTATGGGCTTTATATCAGCCTTCCTCAAAGTCCATCTCATTTTTTCCATGAGTACATCCTGGATTATAATTCACTTTTCCTGAAACAACCCCCTGAGGAAGACATGACTTCCTGAGTGGCTGTTCATTAGTGCAGATCCCACTTGAATCCAGTGGAGCAGATTTTAAAATATTGTTTCCTTTGTGCTGCCTCTGTGAGCCCCTGGCTGCTCCTGGGGCCAGGGCAGGAATTCAGCCTGGGGCAGGAATCTGGCTGGAAATGGGAAAGGCCCGGCTCTCACACGAGCAAGGTTTGAAAGTCAAGCTTTTAGTAATATTTTTCTCCCTACATCAGCAGATAAAGTGAATTCTGCTGCCAAGTGCGACCCTGCGGGAGGGTGAGCGACCTCGGCGTGACAAATGGGAGCCACGCTGATTAATGCTGCTGGGAGGAGCTCAGATTCCAGGGGGATGAGGCACTGGGAGAGCCTGCCTGCCTTCCTGGGGACAAGGGGCTTTTCAAACCACTCTCATTTTATTCCTGTGCCCACGTGCTGCTGCCCTGCTGCTGCACCAGAGGCTCCTTCCAACTTCCCAAAGGCAGAGAGATTCCAGGCTGTTCCCCCAGGCTGTGCTGCTCCCCCACCTGAGATGGGTTCAGAGCATCCCATGAACTGTCCTGGCTGCCTCCTGCCAGCCCTCCTGACTCATCCACTGAGCAGCCAGCCCTGACCTTCCTCTGGCCAGGGAAGAGCCCCTGGGACTGACTGAGAGGGGACACAGCTGGAGTTGTGTGACACCACTGTGATCTGTCCCTGGGGTGGCACTGGGGGCACATCTGCTCTGGGGAGACTCACCTGGCTCTGCCAGGGTTGTGTGAGCAGCACAGAGGTGTTTGGCTGGAACAGAGCTGGGAAGGGGCTGCACAATCCCTGAGGGAGCTGGGAAGGGGCTGCACAATCCCTGAGGGAGCTGGGCAGGGGCTGCACAATCCCTGAGGGAGCTGGGCAGGGGCTCAGCCTGGAGCAAAGGAGGCTCAGGGGGCCCTTGTGGCTCTGCACAGCTCCTGCCAGGAGGGCACAGCCGGGGGGGTCGGGCTCTGCTCCAGGGAACAGGGACAGGAGCAGAGGGAGCGGCCTCAGGGGAGCTCATGGTGGACACCAGCAGGAATTTCCCCATGGAAAGGGGGGTCAGGCACTGGAAGTGCCCAGGGAGGTTTGGAGTCCCCATCCCTGGAGGTGGCACTCAGAGCTCTGGGCTCGGGACAAGGTGGAATTGGGCACGGCTGGGATTGGTGATCCTGGAGATCTTTTCCCACCCCAGCAATGCCCTGATCCTGGGACTGTCACACCTGAGGGTGTCCCTTGCAGAGGGACCTGGGCCAGTTTAGGGGTGATGGAGTTTGAGCTGAGGAAGCCTCAGGCTGTGGCTGCCCATAGTCACCCTCCTGTGCCCATGACCATGGCTGGGGACAGGGCGTGCCTGGGAGGGATAGCAGCCTCAGACACAGCCCCAGGGCCTCTCCTGTCTGGGACCCCAGCTCTGGGTGACCCCCAGTGTCGCAGACATCTTTTATGAAAAATCCTTTCCTTAGGATTTTTCCTCCTGAGAAGCTGAGAGGCCTCAGGAACAAAATGTAAACATTGATTTTCTGCTCCTGTGGAATGCAACAGGTGCATCTGTGATTGGTCTCGTGTGGATGTTTCTAATTAATGACCAATCACAGTCAGCTGGCTCAGACAGAGAGTCTGAGCCACAAACCTTTATTATCATTCTTTCCTATTCTATTCTTAGCCAGCCTTCTGATGAAATCCTTTCTTCTGTTCTTTCAGTATAGTTTTAATATAATATATATAATAAAATAATAAATCAGCCTCCTGAAACACGGAGTCAGATGCTCATCTCTTCCCTCATCCTCAGACCCCTGTGAACACCGTCACAGCCCAGCACTCCCCACGTGCTGCCCTGGCCTCTCTGCAGCCCCAGGCTGGGTGCAGCTGCTGGCTGTGCTGGTGACAGCGGACGGGGCCGTGCCTGCTCCTGCCCACACAAAGGCATTTATAGCACTGCAGCCGCCCCAGCTGCTGCTGCCAGCCTGGGCAGGGCCATCCCAGAGCCTGGGACATTGCTGGGGGAAGCAGAGACTTCTGGTGTGCTCTGGGATCTGTCTTGTTTGTGCCCTGGGATCTGTCCCTATCAGTGCCCTGGGATCTGTCCCTGTCTGTGCCCTGGGATCTGTCCTGTTTGTGTCCTGTCTGTTCCCTGGGATCTGTCCCTGTCTGTGCCCTGTCTGTGTTCTGTTTGTGTCCCTGTTTGTGCCCTGGGATGTGTCCTGCTCTGTGTCCCTGTCTGTGCCCTGTTTGTGTCCCCGTCTGTCCCTGTCTGTGCCAGGCTGCTGATCCCCAGCCATGCCCTCGGGTTCCCCCCACGCTCCCACATTCCCTCTTGGCAGGGATGGGTTTGGAGCATCTCTCCTCTCGTGTGTCCTCTCCTGGAGCTGGCAGGACCTGCAGGGTGGGGTGAAGCTTCAGGGGGGCCTGGGGCTGTGCAGAGGGACCCAGGAAAGGCACAACTCCACGGAATCCCACCCAGTGCCACCCCTGCCATGGCAGGGACACCTCCCACTGTCCCAGGCTGCTCCAGCCCCACGTCCAGCCTGGCCTTGGGCACTGGATCAGCCCCAGCTGCTCTGGGCACATGGGCCAGCCCTCAGCCCCTCACAGGGAGGAATTTCTCCCCAAAGGCTCCCTGAGGTGCCTGGGGAGAGCTTGTGGTGGCAGGAGGGGCAGCTCAGTGCCACTGACCCTCCTGGGGAGGGCTGGAGGCTGATGGGGAAGCTCTCAGCTCCATCCAGATGTTTGCAGCTGCAGGGTGCACCCCAGGGCCCCCTCACAGCACCCCCAGTGTTTGGTGCCAGCAGGGCTCTGACTCTGCTGCCACAGCTCTGCTCTGTGTCAGGAAACCCCAGGGAGGTCCCCTGTGCCTTCCTGTCCCCAGATGTCCCCTTGGGCCACAGGTCTCTGGAGCACTCTGGGCAGGAGGCCTGGCAGCTGTCCCCATTTTCTGGGTAAAATCATTGCAAAGCTTTAATTACTACTGCTGATCAACATTGCTATTGGGATTTTAATAACTATTGCTGAATCCTTGCCCTGAATGTGGCAGGAGAGCTGGCTGGCCCAAGGGAGGCAGCCAAGGGGCTGGGAGTGTGTGCAGGCAGGAAAGGGAGCATCCCCTCATCCCCACACTCCCTGCTCCTGCTCTGGTGGGTCTGGGGTGATGATGGCAATAAAATCCATCCCTGGATGTGCCCAAGGCCAGGCTGGAGAGCCTGGGACAGTGGGAGGTGTCACTGCCATGGCAGGGGTGACACTGGGTAGGCTTTGAGATCACTTCCACTCAAACCATTCTGTGATTCTACAGTTAAGAGCATTTTTATTAATAGAATTAACATTTTTATTAGTAGTATTTATATTAATTAATATAAAATACTGATGTTAATAATCAATATAATCAATATTAACAATAACAGCAACTGTGGAGCAGATTTAAGGTCACAGAGGTGTCTCTGGGGTGGGGTATGTACAGTTATTGAATTGCTTTAATCAATTTTGCCCATCTCCTTGTGCAGGCAGCTGTGGGAACACCCCAGGCTTTCCTTGGGGAGGAGAGAGGAGGGAGGTGGTGGTGGGGATGGATGGATGGATGGATGGATGGATGGATGGATGATGATGGATGGATGGATGGATGGATGGATGGATGGATGGATGGATGGATGGATGGACGGATGGGGGGATGGATGGATGGATGGATGGATGGATGGATGGATGGATAGATGGATGGATGGATGGATGGATGGATGGATGGATGATGATGGATGGATGGATGGATGGATGATGGATGGATGGATGGATGGATGGATGGATGGATGGATGGATGATGATGGATGGATGGATGGATGGATGGATGGACGGATGATGGATGGATGGATGGATGATGGATGGTTGGAGGGATGGATGGATGGTTGGAGGGATGGATGGATGAGGGAGGGAGGGAGGAGGGATGATAGAGAGATGGATGGATGGATGGATGGATGGATGGATGGATGGATGGATGGATGGATGGATGAGGGCTGATGAATGATGGATGGAGCCGCGGCGGGCGGGGGAAGCCTGGGAGCCGCCGAGCCGCGGGTCTGGTTCTCATTAAGCGGCCGGGCCGGGCCAAGAAACACAGCAATAAATAAGGGCGAACAAAGCCGCCCCCTCCCCGCCGCCCCCCGGCCGGGCCGGCCGCGCTCGGGGCTCGGCGGCGGGGGAGGGACCCGCGGCATAAAGAGGAGGAGGTCGGGCGGAGGCGCCGAGTCGGGGCGGTGACAGCCCGGGAGCGGCGGCATGGCCGGGCCGGGCCCCCCCGGGCCCCGCCGCGGCTCGGCCTCGGGCTGGGGGCTGCGCCTCGCCCTCCTGGGGGTGCTGCTGGGGCTGCCCCCGCGGGGCCGGGCGGGGCCGGCAGGTAACGGGGGCTGCGGGCCGGCGGGATGGGGTGGGATAGGAGATGGGATGGGATAGGGGATGGGATTGGGGTGGGGTGGGACAGGGATGGGATGGGATGGGATGGGATGGGGGCTCCGGGCTGCGCTCGCTGCCCCCGGGGAGCCCCCAGAGCCCGCGCTGCGGCTCCGCTCCGCTCCCGGCGCTCCCGGCCCGGCCCCGCGGGTCCCGCTGGCCTCGGAGGGAACGGGCACGGGCACGGGGCCGCTCTCAGCCCCGGAGCTGAGGGTGAATTCAGAGCCCCCGTTCCGAGCCAGCCCCGGCCGCGGCTCAGAGCAGGAGCTCGGGGTCCGCGCTGCCCTGCGGCTCCTGCCGTGAAACGTGGCTCGTTCGGTCCGTGAGGAAATCCAGACTTTCCTCGAGGCTCCCATCGCTTTTTGGATGGGAGCCGGAGGAGGAGAGGGGCTGCCCGTTTCCCTTCGCCCCCCTGTCGCCTCTTCCTCATCCCTGTTTCCTTCCCCAGCCATTCCAAGATGTCAGGGCTGATGTTCCTCCAGCCAGAGCACGTTTTTTCGTTGGAGCATTTTTCACTTCCGAGCTTTGCCGGGCTCTCGGCTTCTGCTGAGAAGTTTTCCAGCAACTGCAAGAGAGCAGCTGGGAGGGGAGCGGGAGGGCGGTGGGGCCGGAGCTGTGTTTGGATAAGGAGCAGAAGGGAAAGCTGCCGGCTCTGGGGGACCCGGGCTCTGCGGGGCTCCCCGGGCCCCCCCAGCCCGGCAGCTCGGGGTGCCATCATCCCAAACCCCACAGCAGCGCCGCTCCCCACAGCGCTCCCTAAAAGGGCTGGGATCGATGTTTTCCAGGAAATCCAGAGGAGGGGGGTGTGGGAAACCCTTTCTGCGCTGCCTTTGAGTTTATTTGAGTTCCATTTCGGAGGCCCCGTCTCGTGCTCCGAGTCTCTCCGATTCCCAGCAAAAGCTACAAACAAAACAGTGGGAAATTTAAAATATCGTAACTGAAATCTCATCTCCTAAATCTCCCTGCTGAGGGATTTTTGGGACGCGGCCGAAGCCCGGCCCGGCCCCTGGTGTCCCATCCTCTCCCCAGCCGTGGGAGAGAGCTGGGGGCCGGCACAGTTCCCTGCCCTGCTCCCGGTGGGAATTGAAAACAGAGGGATTTATTGCTTGGCTCTGGAATGGGAGGCACCAAACCCCGAAATGGGAGAGCACCAAACCCGCCGGGGCTGCTCCCGTGCCTCAGTTTCCCCACGGACAATGAGGCTGGGGTGCAGGGCCTGGCTCCCGCGTTGGGAGGAGGTGAGGAGAGGGAAGCTGGGATGGTGCCACCCCTTATCTGCAGCTATTCCTGGAATCTGATCCCAGGCTATATTTAATGGCACTGATTAAATACCTCGGGCGATAGCGCCGGGCGCTCCCGGGGGACAAAGGTGGCCGGGCGGGGTGACCCGAGCCCACCCAGCCCCGGCCGCAATTCCCAGCCCACAGCTCCACCTTTGTTTTTCCTTTGTCTTTCCAACAACTTCATCTTCCCTCGAGCCAAAGCCCCGGAGCTCGGCAAGGGGAACCAAAACAAGCTCTAAAACCAGAGAACCCTGAGCCCTGTAATTCCACTCTCTGAGCAAATAACCTCGCTGGGGAAGATAATTCCACCCAAGCTCTCCTGACAACGTTTGGCTTGGCAAGGTGGCCCAACCCTTGACATTTTTGTTCAGCCTCGTCCCCTCTCTGCAGCAGCTTCAGATTTTCGTTTTTTGTTGTGTTGTCATCCAGGCTTAAGTCATCAGTGGCTGCTCCCTGTGCTGCAGTCAAATCCAGCCACATTGTTTAGGAAAAAAATAATCTTAGAAAGTCTGTCTGCCTTGGCTGGAGCCAAGGAATGGCTTGTGCTGCCTGCCCGGGGGGCTGGGATGGCTCAGACCAACCCTGACAGGCACGGCCCTCGAGCTCCTGCTGCAGCCCAGCCCTGGGGCACAGAGCCGGGCTGATGGAGCCACAGTGCCCACAAGCACAGAGCCATGGAGCCCTTCGGGTGGGGAGGGACCCCAGAGCCCCCCCAGTGCCACTCCTGCCATGCAGGGACCCCTCCCACTGTCCCAGGCTGCTCCCAGTGCCCAGCCTGGCCTGGGACACTGCAGGGATCCAGGGCAGCCACATCTCCCACAGGCCAGGGGAGATTTAAGGATTTGGGGCCCTCTTCTGGGGCCTGGGTGGGAGCAATGGGACTGGGGGCTTCCAGGAATAAGGCTGGTCCAGCAGTGAGGGGCTGGGCTGGGGAGGGACCCCAGAGCCCCCCCAGTGCCACTCCTGCCATGCAGGGACCCCTCCCACTGTCCCAGGCTGCTCCCAGTGCCCAGCCTGGCCTGGGACACTGCAGGGATCCAGGGCAGCCACATCTCCCACAGGCCAGGGGAGATTTAAGGATTTGGGGCCCTCTTCTGGGGCCTGGGTGGGAGCAATGGGACTGGGGGCTTCCAGGAATAAGGCTGGTCCAGCAGTGAGGGGCTGGGCTGGGGAGGGGGTGGCACTGGGGGTGACAGTGGCCTGGGGCTGGGGAGGGGATGATCCAGGGGATGACACTGGCCTGGGGCTGGGCTGGGAAGGGGTGACGCTGGGGGTGGCACTGGCTCGGGGCTGGGTCCATCCCCTGGAACACCCGTGAGGAGGCTCTGGGTGTTGGTGCTCAGCTCTGCCCTGTGCTGGGGCTGTGCAGGGCTGCAGCTCTCTCAGGCTCTGCTCAGCAGCTCTCTCCTCTCTCCTCCCCTGTCCCCAGGGTCCCTGTCCCATGGAGAGAGGGTCACCCCCCACTGGCTGCTGGGGGGCCGTGCCCGCAGGGCTGTCAGCCTGCAGGAGCAGGTAAGGGTGATCCCAAACCCCTCCTTCCTCCTGCTTCCTCCTTCCTCTTTCCTCCTTCCCTGCTCTGCCCCCAGCCTTCCTGGTGGGACACCATGGAGCCCTTGGGCTGCAGCATCAATGGGCAGGGTGTGGATTTCAGGATCCATGGGCAGGTGGGGAGTTTCAGGATCAATGGGCAGGGTGTAGGGCTGCAGGATCCATAGGCAAGGTGTGGATTTCAGGATCCACAACCATGTTGAGAATTTCAGGATCCATGGGCAGGGTGTGGAATTCAGGATCCATGGGCAGGATGTGAAATTCAGGATCCATGAGCAGGGTGTGGGATTCAGGATCCATGAGCAGGTTGAGAATTTCAGGATCAATGAGCAGGTTGAGAATTTCAGGATCCATGAGCAGCAGGTTGAGGAGTGTCAGGATCCATCACCACCCTTGGGTGATGAACAGGTAAAGCAGAGGATGCAGCAGTGAGCTAATTAAACATGGTGTTAATGAGTGCTGGGCAGGAGGAGGATGGCCAGGAGCTGCAGGGTGCATGGAAGGGAGCTGGAGAGCTCAGAGGGAGGAGATGGAGGTGATCTGTCAGCTCCTGGTTTGGGATGGGAGGAGCTCAGGTGATCTGTGAGCTCCTGGTTTGGGATGGGAGGAGCTCAGGTGATCTGTGAGCTCCTGGTTTGGGATGGGAGGAGCTCAGGTGGTCTGTCAGCTCCTGGTTTGTCTGGGACAGGAGGGGCAGCCACGGGAAGTGCTGCACGTTTGGGAGCAGGGCCCTGCAGGGAGCAGAGGGCTTCCCCTCCAGGGCTGTCACTCCATCCCTGCCACCCCCGCTGTCCCCACATCCCTGGGGGGCCGGGGGCTCCTTGGGCAGCTCCAGCCCCTCCCAGCTCTGGTTCCGAGGGCTCCGAGGGGCTGAGAGCGCTGCTGGGAGGGGCCTCCGGGGCCATCTCACCCGAGATGCTCCAAACGAGCCCTCCTTGCCAAAGGTGGAACCGCCCGGGCTCGGGAGGGGGGTTTGGGCTGCCCTGGCTGTCCCAGGGGAAGGAACCCGGGCTGGCTGCTCCTGCTGGAGCTGCAAGGGCCCGTGTGGGTGCTGTGCTCGGCCTGGAGAGATGTTCCTGGCCTGGAGAGATGTCCCTTTCCTGGAGAGATGTCCCTGACCTGGAGAAATGTTCCCCGGCCTGGGAGATGTCCTTTTCCTGCAGAGATGTCCCCAGCCTGCAGAAATGTCCCCTCCCGGTGGCAGCCCCAGCCCCGTCTATATTTAAATTGAAGCCACTTGAGACAGGGAACGCGTGGCAGGGCAGGATTATTGGGCAGGATTATTTCTGCTCCTTTATTTATGGGTGCCCCGGTGATGCCGGGGGTGCAAATGGCACCCGGGGGGTTTGGGGGGTTTTAGGGGATTTTGGGGATTCCGGGGCTCGGGGCTGGGGTGTCGAGCAGGTCCCTCTGTTCCCTGCCATCCTCTGAGCTGCAGCCCTGGCCGGGCTGGACACGGAGCTGGACAAGGAGCTGGACACGGAGCTGGACACGGAGCTGGACACGGAGCTCCTGTTCCCGGGCACGGAGGGAGGGAGGGAGGGAGCGGGGCCGGGCAGAGCTGCAGGGGGAGGCTTTGGGGAGGGATGGGGACAGCCAGGCAGGGACAGACACAGCCCCGGTACTGCTGACACTCGTATTTTTAGGATCAATTTAGTCCGTTCCGTCCCCACCCCGTCTCCTGTTGCCCTCCAGCAGAGATCCTGGAAATAACTGCGTCTGTGGGGATGCCAGCTGTGCCAGGAGGCAGCAGCCCTGTGGGGTGATGGCTTCCAGCCCGGGCATCCCCAGAATCCTCCATCCCTGCCTGGGGCTGCTCCTCCTGCCCCTGCCCGGGATGGGGGCAAGGGCTGCTCGGGCTGCCAGGGGCTTTTCCAGCCCCTCAGAGATGGAAATGGGGCTGGAGCCAGGGATGGGAATGGGGCTGTGCCCAGAGATGGGAATGGGGATTGTACCCAGGGATGGGAATGGGGATTGTGCCCAGTGATGGGAATGGGGATTGTACCCAGAGATGGAAATGGGGCTGTGCCCAGTGATGGGAATGGCTGCTGTACCCAGAGATGGAAATGGGGCTGTGCCCAGTGATGGGAATGGCTGCTGTACCCAGAGATGGAAATGGGGCTGTATCCAGCACTCTACCCTGGGCATCCTACTGGTATCCAGCCCTGGGGAAGGGCTCGATATGCCCTGTCCTACCCTGGAGCCTGCTCAGCCTTGGGGCTCCCCCTGCCTCTTTCCCTTCCCTTTGGAATTGCTTTCTCCCAGGTGTGGAGCAGGAGGAGAGGATCAGGCTGCCCGAGGTGGTTGGGATGTTCTGCAGGTGTCAAGGGCACTTCCCTGCCCTGCTCCCTGCAGGGAAGCCCTTTCCCCCTTGTTTCCCCCTTGTTTTCCCCTTCTTTTCCCTGTGCCAGATGTGGCTGCACTGAGCAAACCCTGCCAGTTCTGTTCTGAACCAGCCCAGACCCTGCTCTGTCCCCCGGGCCTGGCTGCCCTGCTTCCTGATTCCCAGGGATGTTCCTGGCTCCCAGGGATTGTTCCTGATTCCCAGGGATGTTCCTGATTCCCAGAGGTGTTCCTGACTCCCAGGGATGCTCCTGGCTCCCAGGGATGTTCCTGACTCCCAGGGATGTTCCTGGCTCCCAGGGATTGTTCCTGATTCCCAGGGATGTTCCTGATTCCCAGGGGTGTTCCTGACTCCCAGGGATTGTTCCTGACTCTCAGGGATGCTCCTGGTTGGATGTTCTTGACTTCCAGGGATACTCCTGACTCTAAGTGATGTTCCTGGCTCCCAGGGATGCTCCTGGCTCCTAGGAATGCTTTTCCAGAGAGCAGTGGGTGTAAGAGCTTCCTTTCTGGCTGCTGCTGGCATTGGCCAAGTGATGCAATCCCTAGCTGTGTTCCTCAAGCCTCAGAGCTGGCACTGGCTGCCTGGGGAGGCCCTGGTGCAGCCCAGCTGCTCCAGCAGCTGCAGATCCCATCAGCAAATCCTCCTGGAGCACCCCTGGTCGCCTCCATCCTCTCCTCCCTGTCACATCCGGGCTCTGGGGGCTTCCCTGGGAGCTCAGGGCCTGGGGGAGCAGCCTGAGCAGATGGCTGGGCTGGGAGCTGAGCTCTGGGAGCTGGCCTGGGAGATTCCCAGGGAACTCTGAGCTCCCTGAGCCTGTCCTGGAGCAGGAGCTTCCCAGCAGGGATGGAGGCAGCTGGATGGGGAGGTGGCTGGGATGGGAGCTATGGGCAAATGGGGAAGAGCAGCTCAATCCCCTGGCCCTCTCCACAGAGCACTGGGGTTTGTCTCATCAATGGAGTGAAAGGTAAAACCAGACTGCAGCTGGGCCTGCAGGGTCCCTGGGCTGGTCACAGGCTGGGGCCTGGCCAGGCTGAGCCATCCCAGCTGCAATTCCATCATTGCAGCCCCTCCAGCCCCTGGGGACTGGCTGTGCTGGATGGCCTGGACAGGGGCCACCCCCTGCACCTGCAGCAGGGCTCAGAGGGGATGCTCCCTGCAGCTCTGGCAGGGACTGGGCACTCTGTTCATGGGGCTGGAGAAGGAGACTGGAGAGCAGGAGGAGCCTGGGATGGTGCTGGCACCTGTGAGGATGCTGGAGCCTGTGAGGATGCTGGAGCCTGTGAGGATGCTGGAGCCTGTAAGGATGCTGGCACCTGTGAGGATGCTGGAGCCTGTGAGGATGCTGGAGCCTGTAAGGATGCTGGCACCTGTGAGGATGCTGGAGCCTGTGAGGATGCTGGGACCTGTGAGGATGCTGGAGCCTGGGGTCACAGTGGAGCCCAGGGTGAAATTGGAACTTGCAATGTGCTGGAGCCCAGGGTGGTGCTGGAGCTTGGAATGTGCTGGAGCCTGGGGTGATGCTGAAACATGGGATTATATTGGAGCCTGGGATGATGCTGGAGCCCAGGATATTGGACTCTGGGATGACACTGAAGTTTGGGATGTTGCTGGAGCTTGGAATGTGCAGGAGGCCAGGAGAGTGCTGGAGCCTGTGAGGATGCTGGGACCTGTGAGGATGCTGGAGCCTGGGGTCACGGGAGCCCAGGATGAAATTGGAACTGGGGATGTGCTGGATCCCAGGGTGATGATGCTGGAACTTGGAATGTACTGGAGCACAGGACAGTGCTGGAGCCTGGGGAGATGCTGAAATATGGATTATATTGGAGCCTGGGATGATGCTGGAGCTCAGGACAGTGCTGGAGCCTGGGGAGATGCTGGAGCTTGGAATGTGCTGGAGCCTGGGATGATGCTGGAGCCCAGGATGATGGACCCTGGGATGACACTGAAGTTTGGGATGTTGCTGGAGCTTGGAATGTGCAGGAGCCCAGGACAGTGGTGGAGCACAGGATTATGCTGCAGTCTGGGATGACGCTGCAGCCTGAGCCAATGGCAGAGCCCAGGAAGATGCTGGGGTTGGGAATGTCCTGGAACCTGGGATGATGCTGGAATGTTCTGGAATCCAGGATGATGCTGGACCTTGGGATGATGCTGAAACCTGATAAGTTGCTGCAGCCCAGGCTGATATTGGAGCCTGGGATGATGCTGGAGCCCTGGAGGATGCTGGGCCTTGGAATGATGCTGGAATCCAGGATGATACTGGAACCTGGAAGATGCTGGAGCCAGGAGGAAGCTGGGGCCAGGAGGATGCTGGAGGGCAGGAGGATGCTGCTCCTGGATCATTCCCAGTGTGCAGATCCTGTCAGGAGCCCCAGGGCATCTCCCTGCCAGCCCGGGGCACAAGGAGCAGTGTTCAATCAGTGCAGGCACCCTGCCTGCCCTGGGAGCCTGGGCTCCTGCCTGGCACAGTGCTGCCCACATTCCCTGCTGATCCCTGCAGGAGTTGAGCTGGGCTGTCCCAGCTGGAACCAGGATCCCTCCCTGCTCCCCGCTGCCCCTCCAGGAACTCTAGGGGAAACTGAGGCACGGGGGGAGGAGAGCCTGTGGTGCATCCCTGCCGGGGAGGGGATACATGTCCCACAGCAGCCGTCTGTTCTCCAGCCCCCAGGAGATGGATGAGATGGGATGGCATGGGATGGCATGGGATGGCATGGCATGGCATGGCATGGCATGGCATGGCATGGGAGCTGCCGGGGCTGGGATAACCCGGACACGCACGTTCCCTTTAAGACGGCAGCTGGGAAAGAACATTCTGCCAGTAACGGCTCTGGAGGCGAGGCAGGGAGTAATTGCTGGGGAATTCTAAACCGGGAATGAGCCGGCCGGGACCTGGGAGGGAGGAGGAGGAGGAGAGGGCTGCAGGGAGCGGGTGCTGGGGAGATCAGAGACGGGGAGAGAAAAAGGGAGGGCAAGAGGCGGGGGAAAGGAGGGAAACGGCGAGAAAAATGTACAGACCATGTTTGGCCAGAGAGCGATGTTTGTACAAGATCGTGTTCCAAAAATACCGCCCGTTCCCAGCGCCGCCGAGCGGGGATGGAGCCGCTGCCCACCGGGCCCCGCTCGGTTCGGGCACCGGGACCCGCTCGGTTCAGGGTCGGGCCGGGCCGGGCCGGGGGAGCCGCCGGGAGGTGCCGGGGCCGGGCCTCCCTGTGCTACGGGTTTGTGTTCTGACAGCGCCGGGGCTGCTCGCCTTTTTTGGAGCTGGGCACATGGAGCGGGAGGCGGAGGCGGAGGGGGCTCAGCCAGCCCGACTGCAGCTCCAGCCCTGTTCCCTGCTCCATTCCCGGCCCCATCCCCGCATTCCGGCTCCATCGCCGCATCCCTGCTCCAGCCCTGCTCCCGGCTCCATCCCCATTCCCAACTCTATCCCCATTGCCGGCTCAAGCTGTTCTCAGCTCCATCCCGGCTCCTTCCCCGTTCCCAGCTCCAGCCCCATTCCCAGCTCTGTCCCGGCTCCAGCCCCGCTCCCGGCTCCAGCCCTGCATCCTGGATTCATCCCGGCTCCATCGCCCCATCCCGGCTCCATCTCCGTTCCATCCCCATTCCCGGCTCCATCCTCATCCCCGTCCCCGGCTCCCTCCCGGCTCCATCCCCCCCATCCCGCCCGGCAGGAGCAGCACCTCGCTGCCCTGTGGACCCGGAGCTCATCGCGGGGGCTCCTCGGAGGGCACCCTGAGCAGCCTGAGCACTGTCCGGGATGGCCCGGCCCGGGGCTGCCCTCGGGGTGGGTGTGCAGGAACAGCCCCCCCCCCGGCAGTACAGACCCCCTGGCACTACAGACCCCACAGCCCGGGGGCAGCGGTGCCGGCACCCTGCTGCTCTGCACCCAAATGCTTTATCCCTTTGTCCCTCTGTCCCTCTGTCCCTTTGTCCCTCTGTCCCGAGCTCAGGACAGGCTCCCCTGGGGCTCCCCTGGTGTCCCCCATAGCCAGGGCAGGGGGCCTGGGCTGGAGGAGCAACAGCACAGCCAACTCCACAGGAATTGGGGAATCCACAGGGAATCCAACTCCACAGGAATTGGGGAATCCACAGGGAATCCAACTCCACAGGAATTAGGGAATCGGGATTTAACCTCTGCTTCATCCCGGGCGTGAATCACCCAGCTCTGCCCCTCCCTGCTGCGTTCCTGTGTTCCAGCTGCAGGGATGGGATGCCAAGGGCAGCCAGAGCTGAGGCCTTGTGGGGACGGCTCCTTCCTCTGTTCCCTTTCCTTCCAGAGCCAGGGATGGCTCCTTCCTCTGTCCCCTTTCCTTCCAGGGCCAGGGATGGCTCCTTCCTCTGTCCCCTTTCCTTCCAGGGCCAGGAAGAGCTGGCCAGGCCCATGGCCATGGCAGTGATGGGGTCCTGTGGGCTGGCAGCCTGCTGGGCTCCCTGTGTGCTCCATGGACTGGGACAGACTGAGGGGGACCCCAGAGCCCAGGGACAGACTGAGGGGGACCTCAGAGCCCAGGGACAGTCCAGGCCATGGGCAGCAGGCAGGGCCATGCTTTCAGTGTCCTCAGAGCTGGGGAGAGTGTGGGGACACAGGAAAGGGCAGCACTGTGGGCTCTGGCCCCTCCTGTCACACACAGCTGGGCTGGCTCCAGAGCCAGGTTCCCGTCCAACACCCTCCGAAGAGAGGGAATGAGTAAAGAATGAGTAAAGGCACCGGCATCCTGGGGAAGCTGAGTCACTGTTTCCTTTCTGTGCTGCTGCTCTGAGGTATTTTTAACGGCCCTCATCCGGTGCCCAGGGGGGCCTTGGTGGTGATTTCCATCCCCCCAGGGTACTGATGTCCCTCCCAGGGCTGAGGGCCCTTCCCTGGATCAGCCCCTGCAGTGGGGCAGAGCTGAGGTGGGATGGAGCACACAGAGACCATGCTCAGGGTGCTCCTGGTGCTGCTCCTCATCCTGGGGCCACCCTGTTCTGCCTTTCCCTGGGGGAGCTGCCAACAGAGCTGGGGTCTGCTGCCTCACCCCTCAGTCTCCTGTAAATCCTCTGTTATCCCTCCTGTGACTCCCTGTTATCCCTGCTGGGAGTTCAGGGAGATCCCCTTCCCCAGGATGGAGAGGCCGGGATGCACCTGGAGCTGGAGCAGAGGAAGGTTCTGGGCACAGGGACCTTGTCTGAGCGCATCCCTCCTTTCCTTGCAGGTGGGGGCTCCTGCCCGGGCAGAGGTGGCTGTGACAGCTGAGGGCAGAGAGCTGGTGCTGGTGCTGGAGAGGAACCAGTGAGTGTGGGGCTGGGAATGGGGAGGGGGCACAGGGCACCCTGCCAGGGACCCGCCTGGGCTGGGGAGGGGACACGGGGCACTCTGCCAGGGACCCGCCTGGGCTGGCAGGGTTGTGGCCAGCAGGGGAAGGGACAGCCCTGTGTGGCTCCACTTGGGCTGGAATGCTCCTGTTGCCTCCTTGGTCACCTCCTTTGGGCTCCTTCTCTGGGTCAGTTTGGATGCAGTTGGCAGCAGCACCTGTCCCCTGTGCCCTGTGACACTCACTCAGCTGGTCACCTCCTTTGGGTTCCTTCTCTGGGTCACTTTGGTTCCATTTGGGCTGGAATGCTCCTTTTGCCACCTTGGTCACCTCCTTTGGGCTCTTGCTCTGGGTCACTTTGGCTCCATTTGGGCTGGAATGCTCCTTTTGCCTCCTTGGTCACCTCCTTTGGGCTCCTTCTCTGGGTCAGTTTGGATGCAGATGGCAGCAGCACCTGTCCCCTGTGCCCTGTGACACTCATCCAGCCTGGGACAAGGACACTCCCCTCCCCTGGGACATGGACAGGACTTGTGTCCATCTGTCCTGTCCTGCCCTCCTTGTCCCTCTGCCTGAGACCTCGTGGCATTTTACAGAGCCCCAGAACCCCAGAGTGGCTTGGGCTGGAAGGGACGTTGGAGATGCAGTGCCACCCCTGCCATGGCAGGGACACCTGCCACCAGCCCAGGCTGCTCCAGGCCCTGTTCAGGGCTGGGGACACTGCCAGGGTTGGGGCAGCCCCAGTTCTCTGTCCCTTGGTGGGTTTGTGTCCCGTGCTGAGCAGGGCAGAGCTGAGCCCTTCCTGCTGCTGGTGGGCACAAACCCAGCCCCATGGTGTCCCCAGGGCCCCAGTGACAGCTCCTGGTGTGCAAGAAGAGGAACTGGGGGTCCCTCTGCCCATCTGAGGGCTGTGGGCAGGGGGGTTGGTGGTGGGGGATGAAATGTGATGAGCAGAGCTTGGCCTCGTGTCTGGCTGGTGCTCCAGGCCTGGCCACCTTGGGGTGTCCCCTGTGCCCCTCGTTGTGCCACTGTGCCCTCTGGAGATGGGCAGGAGGGACAGGGGCAGCCCTGGGGGCTCTGGCAGGGCAGGGGGGACAGGGGCAGCCTTGGGGCTCTGGAGAGGAGCAGGAGGGACAGGGGCAGCTCTGGGGGCTCTGGGGGCTCTGGCAGGGCAGGAGGGTGAGCTCTGGGTGAGCTGGGGGACAGTGGCACAAAGGACACCTGAGAACCCAGAGCAGTCCGAGCACCCAAAGCACCCCAGAGTGGCTGTGGGAACATTGTGGGGACGCAGTGTGGGGACACAGCATTGAGACAGCGTAGGGACATCCAAACTGCCCTAGGGGTGTACACAGAGTGGGGACACAGCGTGGGGACAGTATATCCAAACTGCCCTGGCGGTACACACAGAGTGGGGACATTGTGGGGACACAGCATGGGGACACAGTGTGGGGACATCCAAACTGCTGCCTCAGCCCTGTGAGCGAGCCCCTGGCCCTGTGAGCTGGGTTTGGCCTCAGACCTTCCTCCTGCCACTGGGAGCTCTGCTCGGTCCCCAGGAGCATCCCGGGGCGTTTTCCTCACCCTGCTTGGTGGAGCAGGCTGGTCCTGCCCTCCCTGCCCTCCCTGCCTGGAGGGCACATCCCTGCTGTGGGGCCAGCCCGGGGTGTGCCTGGCTCAGCCATCCCAGTCCATTCCCTGGCCATGGCAGGAGGATTTGCCATTCCCGTGTCCCCAGCCCAGCTGTCCTATCCCTGTCCCCATGTCCCCTTGTCCCCAGGCTGGCCAGGCCCTGCCTTGGCAGCCACCCAGTGTCCCTGGCAGGAGGCAGGCTGAGCTGTGACTGCTGTCTGGGCTGTGGCTGCAGTCCCTGCTGCCAGGCACCCACGGACAGGCTGTGGGGAGCCACAGCTGTGCCCACAGTGACATTTCTGGGGCCAGGCTGGCTGAAAGCAGAAAGGGAGAGGCAGGGGAGCTATTCTGGGAGTGCTGCTTTATTTTCTCTGCAGAATTTAACTTTTGGGATGGGGCCAAACCCCAAAAATGAGTCTGAACTGAGAGCAGGGGAAAACCTGGCCCCATTTGTCCTTCTCTGGATGGCTGAGCCCCTGCAGGCGTGCTGCCCTTCCACAGGGACCTGCCAGCCCGGGGTGACCTGCCATTCCCACAGGGACCTGCCACCCCCAGGGTGACCTGCCATCCCCAGGGCACTGCAGCCTTCCAGCAGATACCCATCACTCTTGAATCTGGGCAAGGTCACACAGATCTGGGCAATGCAGGAAAACCTGTCTTTCTTCTTTTTCTTCTTTTTCTTCTTTTTCTTCTTTTTCTTCTTTTTCTTCTTCTTCTTCTTCTTTTTCTTCTTTTTCTTCTTTTTCTTTTTCTTTTTTTTTTTAATTTTTTTTTTCTTTTTCTTCTTTTTCTTCTTCTTCTTCTGGATGGCCCAGCCTGGTTCAGGGGGCTCAGGGGATGTGTGGGTGGCTCAGGGGGTTCAAGGGGCTCAGGGGGATATATGGAAGGCTCAGGGGGCTCAGGGGGCGCAGGGGGATATGTGGATGGCTCAGAGGATGTGTGGATGCTTCAGGGGGCTCGGGGGGCTCAGGGGATGTGGGGATGGCTCAGGGGGCTTAGGGGGACATGTGGATGGCTCAGGGGGCTCAGGGGATGTGTGGATGGCCCAGGCTCAGGGGCTCAGTGCGTTGCTGTGGCGGCAGCCCCGGAGCCGCTGCCCACTGTCCCCGCTGTGTCCCCGCAGGCTGCTGGCTCCGGGCTACACGGAGACGCACTACAGCGAGCAGGGCCAGCCCGTGACGGTCACCCCCAACCACACGGTGGGTGCAGGGCGCTCCCCTCTGGGTTTCGGGGTTCGGATGGAGCCGCGGGGCGATCCCCTCTGGGTTTCTGGGTTCGGATAGAGACTCGGGGCGATCCCCTCTGGGTTTCGGGGTTCGGATGGAGCCGAGATTCCCCGACGGCAGCGGGAATGCGAGAGCGTTCGGCTGCTGCGGCTCCGGGCCCCGGGACAGCGCCCCGGGACACAAACACAGCAGGGCAGGGCCCTCCCTCCCATGGCCCCACCGCCTTCTGTCACCGTTCCAGCGCCGCGCCGGGCGCCGGGCTCTGTCCCGGCTCTGTCCCGGGCTGACCCCGTTCCATTCCCATTCCCGGTGCAGGGAACAGCGCTCGCCTGGCTGGGAAAAGAGATGGGAAATGGAAGTGGGGAGATGGAAATGGGGAGATGGAAAAGGAGAGATGGAAATGGGGAGATGGAAAAGGGGCAATGGAAAAGGGGTGCTTTTCTGGGAGCAGCCTTCGGGCTGCTGCTCCCAGCCCACTGAGGAAGGTCCCCCTGTCTCTCTCCAGGAGCACTGCCACTACCATGGGCACGTCCGCGGCCACCGCCACTCCTGGGTCGTGCTCAGCACCTGCTCAGGAATACGGTATGGGGGAATGGGAATGGGGAATACGGTATGGGGGAATGGGAATGGGGAATGTCAATGGGAATGGGGAAATGGGGAATAGGAATGGGGGAATATGGTATGGGGGAACAGGAATGGGGAATAAGGGAACAGGGAATACGGTATTGGGGAATGGGAATGGAGGAACGGGGGAACAGGGAATGGGGAATGGGGGAATGGGGAATACAGTATGGGGGAATGGGGAATGGGAAATGGGGGATGGGAATGGGGGAACGGGAAATGGGGGTATAGGGAATGGGGAATGGGGGAATGGGGGAATGGGGGAACAGAGAATAGGGAATGGGGAATAGGGGAACAGGGAATGGGGGAATAGGGAATGGAGGAAGGAGTAGGGAATGGAGGAAGGAGTAGGGAATGGAGGAAGGAATAGGGTATGGGGGAATCAGAGTTGGAGAAACACAGGGTCGGTGGATTGAGGAGCTGACAAAGGTGGGATGGATCCACTGCTCCCTCTCTCTGCAGGGATCCCCTTTGGGACCACCCAAGCAGCACCAATGCTCCTGCAAGCCCAGCTCCAAATGCTTCATGGGCTGATTTTCCCATGGCTCCCATCTTGTCCTTCCTCCTTCTCCCACCCTTCCCCCAACCCCAGGACTGAGCAGACTGGGCAGGGACCATATTCCTGGCAGTATGAGCTTATTCCCAGGAATTCTATCCCTGGAGGGGCAGGTCCCTGCACCCCAGAGCAGCTGTCTCAGACCAAGCTTTGGCCTGTGCTCTGAAGGGGGGAGGTTTGGGTGCCCAGGGTTTATTTGTCCTGGGGCTGTTTGAGCAGAGATTCCCGATTCTTGTCCCTGCTCCCAGCTTGGGTACAGACCAGGCTGATGTGCCACAAGTTTGTGGGGCCTCAGGGGCTGGGGCAGCCCAGGGGGAAGCAACATAGGAACCATCGGGGCTGTTCCCATCTCCAGGGGCCTCATAGTGCTGAGCAGCAACACCAGCTACTACCTGAGACCCCTGGGGCCCCCCGAGCCCGGCCTGCACCTCCTCCAGCGAGCAGAGCACCTGCCCGTGCCAGGGGGCACCTGCGGGCATGGCCAGCACCTGGCGAGCACCGTGGCTGGCATGGCCCGGCTCTTCCAGCCACGGCACACACGGGTAAATCCTCAGGGGGGAATCCAGTTGGGTAAATCCTCATGGGTAAATCTTCATGGGTAAATCCGCTCAGGTAAATCCTCACGGGTGAATTTACTGTGAATCCTCATGGGTGAATCCTCATGGGTGAATCTTCACAGGTGAATTTACCATGAATCCTCATGGGTGAATTCTCACGGCTAAATCCACCTGGGTAAATCCACTTGGGTGAATCCTCACGGGTGAATTTACTGTGAATCCTCACGGGTAAATCCTCACGGGTGAATCTTCACAGGTGAATTTACCATGAATCCTCACGGGTGAATCCTCACGGGTGAATCCACTTGGGTAAATCCACTTGGGTAAATCCTCACGGGTGAATTTACTGTGAATCTTCATGGGTAAATCCTCACAGGTGAATCCACTTGGGTGAACCCTCATGGGTAAATCCTTGTGGTAGAATCCTCACAGGTGAATTTACCATGAATCCTCACGGGTGAATCCACTTGGGCAAATCCACTCGGGTAAATCCTCATGGGTGAATCCTTATGGGTGAATTTACTGTGAATCCTCATGAGTAAATCCTCACAGGTGAAACCTCACAGGTAAATCCACTTGGGTGAATCCTCGTGGGTGAATCCTTGCAGGTGAATTCTCAAGGGTAAATCCACTTGGGTAAATCCACTCAGGATCCGTCTGGGGACAGGCAGAGGGCTGGGAGGGGCTCTCAGCACTGCTGACAGCTCCCATGTCCCTGGCAGCTGGGCAGGCCGTGCAGGCAGGTGGGGTGAGAGGGTCTCTGTGGGTGGCTTGTGTGGCTTGAATTTAGGCAGGAGACCCCAGGGGATGCTTGGGTTGGGTCTTGGTGCTGCATCCTATCATGGGGGATATGACGTGAGGTCATTTGGAGCCACCCAAACGTTCTCTGTCACCCTGTGCCTCAGTTTCCCCTCTGAGCTGTCCCTCCTGAGCAGCTCTGTGGTGTCTGCAGGGTGCCCAGAGCCAAGGGCTGCTCCTCTTTGCTGAGCCCTGTGTCTGCCTTGCAGGCCAGGAGGGATGCCTGGAGGACCATGAAGTACATGGAGCTCTTCATCGTTGCTGATCACACCCTGGTGAGCGCTGGGGGGCAGAAAACCAGGGTCCCTCTCTGTCTCTGCTCGGGATTGACCCCGTGGGCCTCCCCATCCTCACCTGTCTCCAGTACAGGAACCAGAACCGCAACCTGGGCCACACCAAGCAGCGCATCGTGGAGATCGCAAACTACGTGGACAAGGTGAGGGACCTGCCAGGCCCATGTGTGGCCCCAGGGACTGCCCCCATGTCACCAGGGCTGAGCTCAGCAGGGAACATTCACTGGCCCCTGCCTGGGGTAATTTTTGGCAACGAAGGGACACACTGAGGTGTTGTCACTGAATGTCATTGTGCCCCCCTGACTGTCCCCACCTGTGCCTGTGGAGCCATGCTTGCAGGTGGGTGTGGGACAGATGTGCTCTGGGGTCACACAGCCGCAAGGAAACACGAGAACCCACCAGCCAGTGGCACCTCACAGCAGGGAGGGAGGGAGGGTGCAGGGAATTGCAGCCCCCACACCTCCCCCTGTGCCCTGCTGCAGTTTTACAGGCTGCTGAACATCAAGGTGGCCCTGATTGGGCTGGAGGTGTGGACGGAGCGGGACCAGTGCGCAGTGAGCAGCGACGCCAACGCCACGCTCTGGGCCTTCCTGCAGTGGAAGAAATCGCTGAGGGCGCGCAAGAAGCACGACAACGCCCAGCTGCTGACGTGGGTCTGGGGCTGGGGGTGCTGGGAGGGGGTCCTGGCTGAGGGTGGGCACTCCTGAGCCCCCAGTGCTGAGTTGGCCCCGTTCTCCTGCCCGGCAGAGGGAAGACCTTCGGGGGCACCACCATCGGGATGGCCCCGCTGGAGGGGATGTGCAGCGCCGACAACTCCGGAGGGGTCAGCGTGGTAAGGGGGGCTGGGGTCCCTGGGCCACCCCTGCCCAGGGACATCTCCCTGGGGTTGGAGGAGCAGCCCCTGAGGCTGGACCAGCACCCCTGAGTTGGGCATGGGGTGCAGCCTGAAAATGAGGGCTGATGTTGTAGCCCCTGACCTGGGGGGCAGCCTGAAGGTGAGGGGTGATGTTGTGGCTCCTGACCCCTCAGATGCTGGCCAGGGGCACAGAGGGTGAGAAGGGGCTTCTGAAGGTCTCCCACTCCCAGCTCCCAGCTGGCACACCACTAGGATCTCCTGTGCTGCTCCTGTCCCTCGGGCTGGAGAGCCCCTGCCTGTCCCTGCCTCTGCTCTGGATTTCTGCCCCCATCTCTGCCCAGATCCCTTCTGCTCCTCCTGATGGTGGTCCTGGGCATGATAGGGTGGCCTTGGTGACCTGTGATCCCTGGGATCACACCCTGTGATCCCTGGACAGGGTGGTGGGGGACACACAAGTTTCTGGGTTTTGGGATGTGCCCCGGGTTTTGAGCAGCTGGCCCCAGCCAAGAGCTTCCTACCAGCCCCACAGGGGAATATCAGGAGACCAAGCCCCACTTGTGCCACCAACCTTCCTCCAACCTCTCCTCCTGCAGGGCAGAGTGTTCCCTCCCGTGCCCAGCCCCATTCCCTGCTGTGGGTGACCCTGTCCCTCGCTGCTGGCCCTGGTGACACGTCCCTTCCTGGCTGTGGGTGACCCTGTCCCTCGCTGTGGGTGACCCTGTCCCTCAGTGCTGGTGGCCCTGGTGACACGTCCCGTCCCCTCCCTCAGGACCACGCGGAGCAGCCCATCGGCGCCGCAGCCACCATGGCACACGAGATCGGCCACAACTTCGGCCTGGTGCACGACAGCCCGGGCTGCTGCACCGAGGCCACCCCTGAGCAGGGCGGCTGCGTCATGGCCGCCGCCACCGGGTGAGTGCTGCTGGGCCTGGGATGTGGCCCCAGAGCCATAGATGTGTCCTGGGTGTGTCCCCAGTGCCCTGGATGTGTCCCCAGGCCATGGTGCTGGGTGCAGGCAGGGAATGTTGTCACCTCTGCTCTGGAGCCAGGCTGGCAGAGCTGGGAATGTTCCCCTGGAGAAGGGAAGGCTCCAGGCAGAGCTCAGAGCCCCTGGCAGGGCCTGCAGGGGCTCCAGGAGAGCTGCAGAGGGACTGGGGACAAGGCCTGCAGGGACAGGAGCCAGGGAATGGCTCCCACTGGGAAAGGGGAGATTGGGCTGGGATCTTGGCAAGGAATTGCTGGCTGGGAGGGTGGGCAGGGGCTGGGCTGGAATTGCCAGATTTGCTGTGGCTGCCCCTGGATCCCTGGCAGTGCCCAAGGCCAGGTTGGACATTGGGCCTGGAGCACTCTGGGACAGTGGGAAGTGTCCCTGCCATGGTAGGGTGGCACTGGGTGGGTTTCACAATCCATGGGGTTGGTGCCAGTTTCCTTTCCAGCCCTTCTCCCCCTCCTGAGGATGTCTCATCCCAGATGTCCCTGCCCTGAGGGAAAGCAGGGTTTATTCAGCTGTTCATTCCCTGTGTTTGAACCCACCTGCTCTTCCAACAAGGAAGGAACAGTGAGACCCCAGTTGTGCTTTCAGGGCTGCCAGACCCTGGTGTTGATCCCACAGGATTTAACCTCTGCCTGGATTGTGGTGGGGAACAGCACATTTGTGGCTGTGTTTGCACAGCCATGTATATGAATATATATAAAATACATGTGGGGTACATTGATTTGCTCAGCCTCCATAACCTGCAGGCTCTTACAGGTTTCCTTCCAGCTCAAGAGATTTCAAAACCAGTTTTAAAAAATGTCCTTTGAGTCATCTTGAGAATGAGATGTCCTGGTATGAAAATATCTTTCAGCTTTAAGGGGAAATGAAACTGTTTTTCAAGAAGGAAATGCTTCCTTCTTCATAAACCACTGAAACCCCTGCAAACGGTGAAATTACAGAAGAACTTTGCTCAGAGGTTCTGTAGAAAATGAGTGTTTTTCCTGTTCCTCAGTTCCTTACACACTGTGGGCTCTGACTGTTTTATTTTTTGCTGCTCTCTGGGTAGTTTTTGGTATTTTTTTCTGTATTTCTTCAACTTTTAGTGATGTTCACCCATCTCAGCTGTGGGGCCCAGGTGGGTGTTTGCTGTGTGGTTCAGTGAGCACAGGAAGGGGTTTGCTGTGGCTGAGGGCAGAGGTGACACCTGCAGCAGTGCTGGGCTGGCAGCAGTGAGCACAGGAAAGGGTTTGCTGTGGCTCAGGGGTGTCTCTGGTGTCCCAGGGCACAGAGGTGATACCTGCAGCAGTGCTGGGCTGGCATCAGTTAGAACAGGAAGGGGTTTGAGTGGGAGCAGAGGGCCCTGCAGGCATGGGGACCTGCCCTGGGGGTGTCTGTGGTGTCCCAGGGCAGAGGTGACACTGTTTTGTGGGGATAAACAAAACTCCACAACTTTTGTGAAAATTGTAAAGCTGGTATGTGCTGGAGGCATGTGGGAATCATTCTCTTCAAAATGACATGGGTACTTCTGGGAACTTCAGGTCCCTTTTTATCCCCCTCTCAGATACATATGCATACAATTTCACAATAGGTTCATGCATATTCATTTTTATGAATTTCGCGTGACATTTGCCGCTAGTTCTTCTTTATCAGAAAGAATTCCTAGGTCAGGTTGACCTGCTCTCACAGCAGTCTCTCTGTCTTTTTTTATCACTCTCTGTCTCATCTCTGTCTTTCCCTGAAGCAGTTTTTCTGAGCCTAGGCCTTGCAGTCAGGCTACATAGCTCTGTTTTCTAGCCACAGACTCAAAAATGTACATTTCACCTAAATCAAAATGGATTTCTACTCTGGAGAATTTCCGCTCAGTCTCACCTGGGTCACTGAGCAATGGGGATCTGCTCTGGGGAGGGTCTGTGCCAGTTTGTGCCAGTTGTCCATGTGCTGAATTCCCATTTCTCACCATTCCCCACCTCCTCTGGCCCTGCTCCCCTGTGTCCCCCCAGGCACCCCTTCCCGCGGGTGTTCAGCTCGTGCAGCAGGAGGCAGCTGGAGAGCTACTTCCAGAAGGGAGGGGGAATGTGCCTCTTCAACCTGCCCGACACCAAGGACCTGGTGGTGGCACGCAAATGTGGCAACGGCTTCCGTGAGGAGGGAGAGGACTGTGACTGCGGCGAGGTGGAGGTACAGGGGGGCCTTGTGGGACATGGTGGGGACAGGGAGTCCTTTGTGGGATGTGGGGGGACAGGGGGTCCTCCTGGGAGGCGGAAGGACAGAGTGACCCTTGTAGGAGCTGGAAGGACAGAGGGGTCCTCTGTGACAGTGTTCACAGGGGTCCCAGGATGAGCGAAGAGATGAGGATCTGACTCCATGTTTCAGAAGGCTGATTTATTATTTCATTATATATATTACATTAAAACTGTACTAAAAGAATAGAAGAAAGGATTTCATCAGAAGGCTGGCTAAGAATAGAATAGGAAAGAATGATAACAAAAGTTTGTGGCTCAGACAGAGAGTCCAAGCCAGCTGACAGTGATTGGCCATTAATCAAAAACAACCAACATGGGCCAATCACAGATGCACCTGTTGCATTCCACAGCAGCAGATAATCAATGTTTACATTTTGTTCCTGAGGCCTCTCAGCTTCTCAGGAGGAAAAATCCTAAAGAAAAGATTTTTCATAAAAGATGTCTGTGACAGCCCTCCTCAGCTGAGGGAATTCCTGCAGAGGGCATTTCCAAGGGAAGGGTTTGCTGTCATCACAGGGACTCCATCCCAAGGGCTTTTCCTAGTCCCACCTTCCTGAATCCATCTATCCCAGTCCTGACTTTCCCCTGAGTGCCCATTCTCTCCCCTGCCCTCTGTGCCTCAGTTTCCCCATTGCAGTATGAGCAGGGTGCTCTGGGATGGGTGTGGCAGGGACTGGGGGCAGCGCTGGGGAAAGGATGGAGCCCCAGCCCATGGATGGGTGTGGCAGGGACTGGGGGCAGCAATGGGGCAGGGATGGAGCCCCAGCCCATGGATGGGTGTGGCAGGGGCTGGGGCAGTGCTGGGGCAGGGATGGAGCCCCAGCCCATGGATGGGTGTGGCAGGGACTGGGGGCAGCAATGGGGCAGGGATGGAGCCCCAGCCCATGGATGGGTGTGGCAGGGGCTGGGGCAGTGCTGGGGCAGGGATGGAGCCCCAGCCCATGGAGCTCTGTGCTCCCCACAGGAATGCACCAACCCCTGCTGCAACGCTCACAACTGCACGCTCAAGGAGGGGGCCCAGTGTGCCCACGGTGACTGCTGCCACAGCTGCAAGGTGAGACCCAGCCTGCCTACCCTGTGCCACCGCCTGTCCCCAGTGTGTGCCCGTGTCAGTGCCACCTGTGCCCAGTCTGTCCCCGTGTCAGTGCCACCTGTCCCCAGTGTGCCCCCATGTCAGTGCCCCCTGTCCCCAGTCTGTCCCCGTGTCAGTGCCACCTGTCCCCAGTGTGCCCCCATGTCAGTGCCACCTGTCCCCAGTGTGTGCCTGTGTGTGTCCCCCCGGTCTCCCCATGTCACTGCCCCCTGTCCCCACTCTGTCCCCACTCTGTCCCCACTCTGTCCCCGTGTCACTGCCCCCTGTCCCCACTCTGTCCCGTGTCCCCCCAGCTGAAGGTGGCCGGGACTCTGTGCCGGGAGGCCGCTGGCTCCTGTGACCTGCCCGAGTTCTGCACGGGAGCGTCCCCGTACTGCCCTCCCAACGTGTACCTGCTGGACGGCTCCTCGTGCGCCCAGGGCCAGGCCTACTGCAGCAACGGCATGTGCATGACCCACCAGCAGCAGTGTGTGCAGCTCTGGGGGCCAGGTCAGTCCCACCCCTCATGTGCATGACCCACCAGCAGCAGTGTGTGCAGCTCTGGGGGCCAGGTCAGTCCCATCCCTCACTGCAGCACCAGCCTGGGGTGCCCGGGGGGCTGCAGGTGCTGCATGGGGGCCCTGGCACAGCCACACCAATGGCCAGGGAACAGTTCTGAACCCCAAATCCTTGGGAATGGGGTGGAGGGTGCTCAGAGCAGCTGTGGCTGCCCCTGTATCCCTGGTAGTGTCCCAGGCTAGGCTGGACACTGGGGCTGGAGCAGCCTGGGACAGTCGGAGGTGTCCCTGCCCTGGGTGGCACTGGGTGGGTTTAAGGTCTCTTCCAAACCACTCTGTGACCAAAATCCTCTACAAGACTGCAGAGAATGGGGAAGTTCATTCCTCCTGTCCCTGGCCTGGCACCCACAACAGCAGCCCCAGGAGAGCTGTCCCTGGTGTGTTCTCCCCGTGCTGCTCCTGCTGCAGGTCCCTGCCTGTGCCAGGGTTCCCAGAGCTCTCCCCTGTGTGCAGGAGCGTGGCCAGCCCCTGATGCCTGCTTCCAGGACGTGAACATGGCAGGGAACACCTACGGCAACTGCGGCAAGGACAGCCAGGGCCACTACGTCAAGTGTGACAAGAGGTGGGCGCAGCGCTGGCACTGGGTGCTCTGTGTCCCTCCTGTACCCCTGCCATCCCTGCCATGCCACTAGGAGGACCCTGCCTCAGCCCTACCCCCAGGAATTAGGCTCTGTTTTGTCCCTGAGGAAGCCACCAGGCCCTCCTGGGCTCTGTCCCCACCGCTGCTGGGAGGTGGGACCTGGAGATTCTTGAGGTGTTTTCCAGCCTCAATCCTATGATTCTGCTGTCCCACCACCAGCAGCTCCCAGCCCAGCCTGCTGGGAAATCAAAGCCAATGCCAGATTTAGGGAGTTGTGCTCTCTGTTGTCTCAGTGCCAGATTTAGGGAGTTGTGCTCTCTGTTGTCTCAGTGCCACATTTAGGGAGTTGTGCTCTCTGTGTCCCAGTGCCACATTTAGGGAGTTGTGCCCTCTGTGTTCCCAGTGACCCCAGGGATGTCAGTGCCTCTCCTCCCCTCCCCTGCCCTGGCTGTTTTCCTCCATCATTTCTGTGCTGTTCATGATTTACCCACTGACCCTCTCCAGCATGGCCATAACCCCATGGGAATGACCCCCAGGTGTGGGATGGTGGGGCTAGGGGGCTGAGGGGGCACCACTGCCCCCTGTCCCATCTCCTCCTGGCTGTGCCCGCTGCAGGGATGCCATGTGTGGGAAGATCCAGTGCCAGAGCTCTGCCAAGAAGCCACAGGGCACCAACACGGTGTCCATCGACACCACCATCCGCCTCAAGGGCCGCGAGGTCAAATGCAGGGGCACCTTCGTCTACAGCGCCAAGGACGACCAGGAGGACCTGTCTGACCCAGGGCTGGTGCTGACGGGCACCAAGTGTGGGGATGGCATGGTGAGTGCCCCTCCTGCCCGGGGCTCTGCTGAGGGACACCTGCTCTGGGCTCTGGCCCAGCTCCAGGCTGCACATGGCCATTCCCTGTGTCACAGCCAGGCCCTGCAGTGGTTCCTTCCACACCTGTAGATGATGTGTCAGCATCACCTCAACTGCTGCCACCAGGTGTTTGTGGGCCACCAGGTTCTTCTCACCCTGGGCATTTGTGAGCATCACCAGATGCTCAATCATGTTTAGGCCACCAAATCATTCTTTCTGCCCTCCAAACTTCTTCACCAAATCAGTTCAGAGTGGAGCAACCCCAGCAGGAATTGCCCCAGGATTTGATTGAGGATTCCTCCTATGAAGAGATTGTTTCCCAGAGGGAACAGGAAATCTCTGCCAGGAATCCATGTGACAAATCCAGTGCTAACTGGGCATTGCTGTCTGCAGCCCCTGCATCTCCAAGAGCTTTGGAGGGGGCCAGTGGAGCTGAGAGAGGGCAGAGGCTGCTGGAGGCCAGGGCAGGAGGGATGTGTTCCAGAGAGGGCTGGCTGTGGAGACACAGCCTTCCCTGCTTGGCATTTTAACAGTGAAATCTTCATTGGGGAGGCCAAAGCAGTGACATTTCCATGAGGAAATGTGGCCAGTTTTAGTTTTGAAATGCAGCATTGTTTATTCTGGCCAGTGCCTGGAATTTCGGGCCAAATGGGAAATGTTTTCCCTTGGTTTTGGTGCCAAATGGAAATGGTTTCTCTTGGTTTTGGGGCCAATTGGGAAATGATTTCCCTTGGTTTTGGGGCCAAATGGGAAATGGTTTCTCTTGGTTTTGGGGCCAAATGGAAATGGTTTCTCCAGGAGATGGCAGAGGTCTGTGTGGAGGGGGTGGGAGTGGAATCCCTTGGCTGGAATCATGTGATTTCACCACCTGCATTTTCCAGCACTCCAACCCTCTGGAGCCCCCCCAGCTGTCCCTGTCCGGGTCCCTGTGTGACCTCAGCCTCTCATGTGTCCCCCCAGGTGTGCAAGGACCGGCGGTGCCAGAACGCGTCCCTGTTTGAGCTGGAGAAGTGTGTGTCCCGCTGCCACGGCCACGGAGTGAGCTCTGCTGGGAGCCCCTGGTGCCAGGGGAGGGCTGGGAGTGTCTGCCACGGGGATGGGACCTGCAGGGAGCCCCTGGCATCAGGAGAGGGCTGGGAGCCAGCCCCAGTGTGTGCCATGAGGATGGGACCTGCTGGCACCTCCAGGGAGCCAGCCCCAGTGTCTGCTATGGGGATGGGCACTGTTGGGAGCCCCTGGCATCAGGGACGGGGCTGGGAGCCACCCCAGGGTCTGCCACAGGGATGGGCCCTGGGACCCAGGGGATTTGTGCCTCTCAGACCTGTCCCAGGCAGGGCTGGGACCTTTGCTCAGCCGTGTCCCAGTGAGAGGAACAGGATTGTTTATGGTGTCAGGGCCATCTGCAAAGCTTGGCTCAGGGTCTGGTTTGAGCTGGAGAGTGTTTGGAGCTCAGAGCAGGTGCAGGGTCCCCCTGAGAGCAGAACAAGAGCTGGAAGAAGAACTGGACAGCAGAAAGGCAGGGCAGTCGTTCAGGGACAGAGGAGACACTGCTCTCCAGGTTACAGAGGTTACAGAGGTCTGAGGTCTGAGAGCTGAACAAGAGCTGGAAGGAGAAGTGGGACAGCAGAAAGGCAGGGCAGTAGCTCAGGGAATGGGAGGAAAGCTGTTCTCCAGAGCTGAACAGTTACAGAGGTCTGAGCTCTGAGAGCAGAACAAGAGCTGGAAGGAGAACTGGACAGCAGAAAGGCAGGGCAGTAGCTCAGGGAGGGGAGGGCACACTGCTCTCCAAAGCTGAAAGGTTACAGAGGTCTGAGCTCTGTGCATGCAGGGCTCTGTCAGATGGGGCAACAGACACTGCTGGGTTCTGGATGTGACAGATAAAACACCTGATTGACCCTTTTATGACAGCCAAAACATCCACACCTACCCTTTGTTGTGCCCAGCATGGCTCAGGCTCTCAGAGCTGCAGTTGCTCAGCCTGTGGATGAGCAGGTTCTGGGGGGACCTTCTGGCACCTTCCAGCACTAAAAGGGGCTTGTAAAGAAGAGGGAGGGTGACTTTTTACATGCGCAGATAGGGACAGGAGCAGGGGGAATGGCTTCAAACTGAAAGAAGATTTGGAGATGGGATATTAGGAATTGGGAATTGTTCCCTGGCAGGGTGGGCAGGGGCTGGGCTGGAATTCCCAGATTTGCTGTGGCTGTCCCTGGATCCCTGGCAGTGCCCAAGACCAGGTTGGACACTGGGGCTGGGAGCAGCCTGGGATAGTGGGATGGGATGGGATTTAAGCTCCTTCCCTGATCCCAAACCATTCCAGGATTCTGTGATGCCCAAGGGGGAGCATTGTCAGGGGTGAAGCTTCTTCAGCCCAGACTTGTGTCACCATCTCTCCATTGCTGCCCTGTGGACCCCCATTGCACACATGCCAGCCCTGTGCTCTGTCCCCAGGTGTGCAACAGCAACAAGAACTGTCACTGTGAGCCCGGCTGGGCCCCCCCGTTCTGCGAGAAGCCGGGGCTGGGGGGCAGCGTGGACAGCGGCCCCGTGCAGAACCATGGTGAGTCACAATTGTCCCTGTGCCCTGAGTGTGTCCCCATGTCCTGAGTCCTCCTGAGTGCAGCAGGGCCCAGGGAGGGCTGGGGGCTCCCAGAGGGGCCTGTGCAGGTGTGACAGTGTTCACAGGGGTTCTTGGATGAGGGAAGAGACTCAGTGGATCTGACTCTGTTTCAGAAGGCTTGATTTATTATTTTATGATATATATTACATTAAAACTGTACTAAAAGAATAGAAGAAAAGGTTCTCATCAGAAGGCTGGCTAAGAATAGAATAGCCAAGAATTATAACAAAGGTTTGTGGCTTGGACAGAGAGCCTGAGCCAGCTCCTTGTGATTGGCCATTAATTACAAACATCCAACATGGGCCAATCACAGATGCACCTGTTGCATTTCACAGCAGCAGATAATCAATGTTTACATTTTGTTCCTGAGGCCACTCAGCTTCTCAGGAGGAAAAATCCTAAGGAAAGGTTTTTTCATAAAGTTGTCTGTGGCATGCAGGCAGCCCCACAGTGTGTGTCCAGCTCTGGCTGTTGGTGGCACCCACTGCCACCAGAGGCCATCGAGGGCAGGTCCCTTCCCAGAGTGGCACCAGCAGGGATGTGCCAGCTCTGCTGACCAGCAATGGACAATGGGGTCACCACGAGCAGGGCTGGGGGCTGCTGGCTGTCCCAGCTCCTCACTGGCCCCCGTGCTCCCCTGGCAGCCCACGAGTCCATCCTGATCGCCCTGGTGGTCATCTCGCTGTTCCTGCTGCCCGCCCTGACGCTCAGCATCTGCTACTGGTACCGGCAGGAGAACTCCCTGCTGGCCAGGTGGATCCAGGAGAGCAGGGTCCGGGCCCACGGCGCCTGCAGGTGGGCACACACCCAAACCCTTCCCTCCTTGCACCCAGGGCAGCCTAGGCTGGTTTCACCCTGCCTGGTAGGGGCTGGGGGTGCACAGCCCCTGTTGCAGTGTGAGACTGCTCTGGGGCTGGACAGACTGTCCTGGGAACCCAGAGCCCCTGCTGTGGTGTGAGACTGCTCTGGGGGCTGGACAGACTGACCTGGGGAACCCAGAGCTCTCAGCAATTTCCTGAGCCCAGGATACCAATGGTCCTCTGGGCAGGACAGTCCTAGGGAGGGGAGGAGGTGGCCTGGAATCGAGGAGAATTCTCATTCCTTGTAGGGTGCCCATCACACACTGACCATCCTTGTCACACACTGACCATCCCTGTCACACACTGACCATCCCTGTCACACACACGGACCATCCCTGCTCCAAGCACTGACCATCCCTGTCACACACTGACCATCCCTGTCACAGAATGACCATCCCTGTCACACACTGACCATCCCTGTCACACACACGGACCATCCCTGCTCCAAGCACTGACCATCCCTGTCACACACTGACCATCCCTGTCACAGAATGACCATCCCTGTCACATACTGACCATCCCTGTCATACACTGACCATCCCTGTCACAGAATGACCATCCCTGTCACACACACTGACCATCCCTGTTGCCCATCACACACTGACCATCCCTACTGCCCAGCAGTGAGGGCTGGCTGTTAATAAGGTGTTAATTGATACAGGAGCTGATGGGCAGCGTTTTTGGGGCAGCCGGTGCTCCCCTGGTTGCTTTATTTTGCTGTGTCCCGAATTCCCAGCAGGAACAAGTCCGTGGGTCGGAAGTCGAGCAGTGCCCATGCCAAAGCTGCTTTCACCCTGAGGAACATTTCAGCCTCCAGCCACCCCTCTAAGGTCAGTGATAACTCAGTAGGGTCACTGATAACTCAGTAGGGTCAGGGATAACTGACTAGGGTCAGTGATAACTCACTAAAGTGAGTGATAGCTCAGTCAGGGATAACTCAGCTGCCAGGTTGGATTCCCAGCTGGGATGTGAAGCCTGTGAGTGTCACATCTGCTCCCAGGAACTGGGCAAGCCCTGGTGTCCTGTGCTGGTCCTGCCCTAGGTCTGCACTGAGCCCCTGGCCAGGTGTGCCCATGGCCAGGTGTGCCCATCCCTCCTAAAACTGAGTTTGTTGAGCTCAAAGTCCCCTGGTGATCACCAGGAGCCTCCACTGGGGAACTTCCCATATGGAAAAGGGATAGATGGGAGTGAGGGACGATCACAGCCTGTGTTGGGGGTATTTTTTGATGTTAATGAGCCCAAAATTCAAGCGAAGTTGGTCTTTGGCTTTGTAGCTTGATTTATGGCGCCCTGTTCTTCCTTCTTGGGTCACTGCTGCAGATTTTGGTTGTTCCTTCATTTGGCTATTCCCTCATTTTCCAGTTCTTTTATTTATTCTGTACCACACTTTATTTTTAACAGTGAATTTTTAACTTTGAACTTGCATTGGTGCTTTTTGGGCACCAGGGCTGAATTCAGGAAGAATTCAGGTTTTTTTGGGTGGTGTGTCCCGCCTGCTGGAAATTGGTGTGCATTCAGCAGAGCTGACCCTGCTCTGGTCTCCAGCCCCTTTCTCACCCCTGTGTGTTCCCATGGGGTTGGTGGGGAGCAAACCCAGAATCACAGGCTCAGGAAGGCTGGAGATGCCCTCCAATGTCCATCTCCACGCCCATCAAACCCACCCATCAGCACTGCCAGGTTCAGCACTGACCATGCTCAGCGTTTGGCTGGGCTGGTGACAGTGCTGGACCCAAGAGGTGTCCAGAGCTCCTCCTGCAGCCCCCTGGAGCCCAGGGCTCGGGGACACAGCTGCTGTGTAGCACCTGGAGCAGGTACCCCAAGGATGCTCCCCCATCCATTGCGCTTTTCTCTCCTTTTTCCCTCTCTCCCTCTCTCAGGGCTCTCGGAGCGCATTCCTGCCCCGGCCTGGTGCTGCCCAGCCCGGCTCCCAGCCCATCAACGTGGTGCACCCGCTTCGCCCAGCCCCCCTGGGCATCCCCCCCCGGCCCAGGGACCCCCGACCCGCCCGGCCCCCGCCCCCGGCCGCCAAATCCCCCCCGGGCCCCGCCAAGGCCGGCGGCGCCCCCCAGGCCAAGCTGCCGCCGCCCAGGAAACCTCTGCCCTGCAGCCCCGTCAGGAGCCCACAGGTGAGCTCTGACAGGGGGGGGACACAGGTGAGCTCTGATAGGGGGACACAGGTGAGGTGTGCTGGGGGACCCCACAGGTGAGCTCTGCCCTGCAGCCCCATCAGGAGCCCACAGGTGAGCTCTGATAGGGGGGGGACACAGGTGAGGTGTGCTGGGGGACCCCACAGGTGAGCTCTGCCCTGCAGCCCCGTCAGGAGCCCACAGGTGAGATCTGATGGGGGAGACACAGGTGAGGTGTGCTGGGGGACCCCACAGGTGAGCTCTGCCCTGCAGCCCCATCAGGAGCCCACAGGTGAGATCTGATGGGGGGGGACACAGGGGAGCTCCCATTGGGGACCCCACAGGTGAGATCTGCTCAGGGAGACAGGTGAGCTCTGCCCTGCAGCCCTGTCAGGAGCCCACAGGTGAGATCTGATGGGGGGACACAGGTGAACTGTGCTCAGTGACCCCACAGGTGAGCTATGTCCCCCCCCAGACCCAGGTGACCCCACAGGTGACCCCACAGGTGAGCTGTGTCCCTCCCAGACCCAGGTGAGCTCCTGGCCTCTCTGGGCTGGGCTGGGCTGGGCTCTGTTTAGGATCTGTCCCAGCCCCCTGAGGCTGCACCTGGGCTGACATTGCAGGAGCCCCATCACACCTGAGGGTGCTTTAGGGGTTTTTGGGTGTTGTTCTGTGCTTTGAAGGCTCTCACCTCTGCAGGGGGAGGGAGGTTTGTGGGGCTCCCTGGCTGCCCCTAAGGGCTCTGTCTGTGCCCTCTGATGCCAGGTGCCCCCCAAGCACGGAGCCCCGCGCCGGCCGCTGCCGGGCAGCCCCCTCCTGGCCAAGGAGCTGCCCCCTGCCCCCGGACAGACCCTGCTGGTCATGGTCCCCCCCAGCAACCCCAGGGTGCCCAGCACCAGCACCTCCAGCTCTGCCACGAGGCCAATAAAGTGAGTGGGGGCAGCTGGGGGTACCCAGAGCTGGGCTCTGGCTGTGGGGCGCGGGAGGGACCCGAGGGAGGGGCACGGGGGTTCCAAGGGAGGGACGCCCCAAAGGGCTGCAGCAGGTCCATGGGGTGGCCAAGGGGGGACCAGGGTGGGGTTGGAAGGTGCCAGGGAGGGAGGGAGGGAGTGCCAGCCCTTGGGAGTGCCCCTGGCCTGGGGGGAGCTGTGGGACTGCTGGGGAGGAGGGAGTGCAGGGATGAGGGAGTGCAGGGATGGACAATGGGGATGAGGGAATGCTGGGGTGGATGCTGGGTATGAGGACTGTTGGGGATAAGGGAGTGCAGGGATGGATGCTGATGCTCTCTCATCTTTCCCTCCTGCAGACCGATGCCACCTCAAAGGTGAGTGAGGACATTCACAGACCCCTGTGCTGGGCTGGGAAATGGGGACCCATCCACCTTCCCACGGGCTCCTGGATGAGCAGGACTGGTTCCTCTGGGAACTGCAACAGGGCCCCTGTGTCCCAGGAGATGAGGATGTGGGGTTTGTTTGGAGTTGGGGGATAAAGCCTTGACAGTGCCACTGGTGCTCCCAGCTCTCCTGCACTGCTGACTGCTCTGGGTGTGGGGCAGGGAGCCTCAGGGGACCCACTCTTGACAGCCAGACTGTGTCCCTGGAGAAATTCCTGACCTGGGGAGGGGTGCTGGGGCTGGTGGGTGTCTGCTGCCTGCGCTCAAACCTGTTATCTTCTTTATCTTTCCTCTTGCTCCAGGCCAGTCCCAGCCATCAAAGCTCAGTCAACCTCCTCCTCAAAGAAGTGACAGTCCCAGGACACGTGGGACACCTGGGACAATCCCTGACCCCTTTCCTGAGCTGGCTCTCCTGATTTGCACTGCTGTGGCCACAGGGCTCTTGTTTTAGTAACCCTTTTGATACCAGAGGACTATTTTTGTAAGACAAAATTTGTATTCAGCACACAAACTGTAGTGGTGGGGTGAGAGGGGACATTGGTACACAGCTGGACCAGGGCTGGTTGAGGTGGGGTTTCCATGATGGAGATCCCACCATGACTGGACCAGGGCTGGTTGAGGTGGGGTGTCCATGATGGAGATCCCACCACGGCTGGACCAGGGCTGGCTGAGGTGGAGTGTCCATGATGGAGATCCCACCGTGGCTGGACCAGGGCTGGCTGAGGTGGGGTGTCCATGATGGAGATCCCACCGTGGCTGGACCAGGGCTGGCTGAGGTGGGGTGTCCATGATGGAGATCCCACCGTGGCTCTTGGCACTGCCTCCTGGCCCATCTCCCTCCCAGCTTCACTTCTCTGGACATTGCACATGGGCTGGGAGGGGGTGACTGGGGCAGTGACCATCCCCACCCATGGAAGATGCTGGTGACAGCGTGATGTCCTTGCAGCTACCTCCTCCTCCTCCTCCAGGCCTGCAGCCCCCAGCCTGCAGCTCCACGCTGGGCACCTCTCGGGGGGATGTTTGCCATGACAGAACCCTGGTGCCCAGTTTGGGCTGGGCCACGCAGTGCTGGGACAGTTCCATGAAGGATCCAAGTTCTCAGGCTCCCCTGACCTCCTGTCCCACTGCACAAGGAAAAGCAGCTCCAGGTGACAATCCCAGGCTCACCTGGAAGGAGGAACTGTCTGGGAATGTCTGAACACCTGAAGTGCCCATGGCAGCTGCTCCCAGGGTGCTCCTGAGGGGCTCAGGATCCCTCACAGCGCTGCCTGTTCCTGCCAGGCCCAGCAGAGGCTCCAGGAGCTGCTCATGCTCTGAGGGGAAGGAGCCGCGAGCAGGAACCAGAGCAGGAAACTCCTGCCCGTGCCAGGGGCTTGTCCCCGCCCTGGCCAAGCCTCTGCATCTCTCTGTGCCTCAGTGCCCCTCTGGGGGTGTTTCCTACCTCACAGGGCTGTTGTGAGGTGTGACAAAGGGGCTCTCCAGGGCTCCCACCCCTCCGTCCAAGGTGCTGTTGACCTGCACAGTTGGTGCCACTTTCCTGTGACTTGACCTGCAGCTCGATCAGGGTCTGAGACAACAACAAAGACTTGGAAAAGTCCCCTGGCTCCTCTGGCTCTTTTCTTGCTCCCTGTCCCCTGAGCCTTCCGGCACCAGGGCATCTCCAGGGCTCTGCCCACACCAGAGCAAGCAGGGTCCTGTAACCTGGGATCCAGCTGGGTGTGACCTGTCAGATCCCATCTGACCTGGGGAAATTCCTTTTGGGATGTGTCCAGCCATGATGTAGTTTCAGGGAGAGCCCTCAGGCAGCTGCTCTGGGCTCCCATTGTCCCCAGTGTCCTGATTGTCCCCAACCTGTGGGTGAGACTGCCTTAACCCAAGCTGTCCTTACCTTGGGCTGTGTTCTGGAATTGTTGGACTCACATCTGGGTGTTCTCTGAAGCACTTTCAGGAGGAATTTCTCCATGGAAAGGGTGGTCAGGCTTTGGCAGGAGCTGCCCAGGGCAGTGTGGGGTCCCCATCCCCAGAGGTGTCCAAGGAAGGGCTGGAGGTGGCACTCAGGGCTCTGGGGTAGGGACAAGGGGGGAACGGGCACAGACTGGGCTGGGTGACCTTGGAGGGATTTTCCAGCCTCAGTGATTCTGGGGTTCTGTTATCCCTGGTACTCCCATATCTTTCGTGGTTCATGGATATTTAGCTGGGATCAAGGATCCAACGTCTCTTAGTCTCATAACAAAATCAGAAAACCAGTGTCACTGAGGATGGAAGGGAAGGGGACTGGAAGGGAAAGGGGTTGGTTGGGGGTGATCTCGAGATCAGTGTCCCTGGGCTTGGACTCTGGCCCACCAGTGCCACCTTCCTGGCCATCACAGGCCCTTCCTCTGGCCCTGGTGTGGAGGCAGGGCTGGGCAGTGCCCCCTCCATGCTCCCCCAGCAGTGCAGGACTGGGTCACTCTGTCACACAGGGTCACACTGGGTCACACTCTGTCACACTGTCACATGGGGTCAGGGGGCTCAGGCTGTGTTCTTCAGGCTGGGAAGGGGTTGGCAGAGCCCCTTTGTGCCTCAGGGCTGCTGCTCAGCGGGGCTGGCCCAGGGCCCATTCCATCCCCTTATCCCATCCCATTATCCCATCCCATTATTCCATCCCATCCCATCATCCCATCCCATCCCATCCCATCCCATCCTCAGGCAGGAGTGTGGGATCTGTTCAGGGCTGTGGCTCGCTGCTCCCTGCCAGTCCAGGTGTGCCCAGGTGTGCAGCTGGGTGTGTCCATCCTGCCATACCCGCTGTGGGACGGGTCCAAGGCCCCGGCAGGGCTCGAGTTTGGGGTCCGGGAGGGTTTGGGTGCCCGCTGGCGCTAGATGGCAGCAGATGGCAGCGGATGGCAGGGGATGGCGGGGGATGCCAAGAACCCTCTGCTCGGGCTCTTCCGATTGCCGGGACCGCGTCCTCCAGCGCGGCTTTTCTCCTTCATCTTCCTCCCCTGCCCCGTCATTTACAAACCCGTTAAAATCATCCCCTGGGCAGGAACCTGCTGATGGCTCCTGATGAGCTTCAGCTTCTCCCTGCGGACCTTTCCCTTTATCAGTGGAACAGGTGAAGGGCTGGGAATGTTCCCCTGGAGAAGGGAAGGCTCCAGGCAGAGCTCAGAGCCCCTGGCAGGGCCTGCAGGGGCTCCAGGAGAGCTGCAGAGGGACTGGGGACAAGGGATGGAGGGACAGGAGCCAGGGAATGGCTCCCACTGGGAAAGGGGAGATGGGGCTGGCATCTTGGCAAGGAATTGCTGGCTGGGCTGGAATTCTCAGATTTGCTGTGGCTGCCCCTGGATCCCTGGCAGTGCCCAATGCCAGATTGGACTTACCTGGGACAGTGGGAGGTGTCCCTGCCCATGGCAGGGGTGGCACTGGATGGGACTTAGGATCCCTTCCCACCCAACCCATTCCAGGATTCTGTGCTTGCACCTCCCTGGCCATTCAGGGCTCTCTGTCACCCAGCCCTGAAGCTCTTCAGGATCTCCTGACCTCAGGCAGGTGTTGTCTCTCTCTCCCTGCCTTGGTTCCCCTCTCCACGCCTTGGCTCCCCTTTTCCAGGCCCTGGCTCCCCTCAGATGCCAAACGGAGTCTCCAGTCCTGTCCCACCCCTGCTGGCCCCCACCAGGGAGCTGTGACAGCCTTGGGCCCCTCAGGGTGTGCCCGGGGTCAGGAGGGACAGGTGACAGAGGGGACAGACAGGGAGTCCCAGTGGCTCCCAGGGCTGCAGCAGCTGGAGCCTGTGGTATTTTTGGGGTCCCCTGTCATGGGAAGGAAAGGTGAATCTGACTCTATGTTCTTAGAAGGATAATACAATATAATATAATATAATATAATATAATATAATATAATATAATATAATTCTATACTAAAACAATACTAAAGAATACAGAAAGGACACAGACAGAAGGCTTAACAAGATGCTAATGAAGAACTCGTGACTGTCTCCAGAACCTCCACACAGCTGGCTGTGATTGGTCATTAAGTTAAAACAATTCACATGGAACCAATGAAACAATGACCAGCTGGTAAACAATGTCCAACCCACATCCCAAAGCAGCAAACACAGGAGCAGCAATCAGATAATTATTGTTTGCATTTTCCTCTGAGGCTTCTCAGCTTCTCAGGAGAAGAAATCCTGCAAAGGGATTTTTCAGGAAATGTGACAGTGACAGGAGCCCTTCCTGGGCACTCTGGGGAAGCCACCCGGGGACAAGACGTTCCCTCCTTGGCTCCCTGGAGCCCCAGCTGGAGGTGCCCCAGTCTGCCCAGTCTGCTATGGTGTCCTGGCCTGGGCAGGCTCTGTCCCCGGGGGTGCAGGATAAGGTGACAGTGCTGATGTGAGCTGTAAAACACAGAATATCCTGAGGTGGGTACACCAGGATCATCCAGCCCTGCACAGGACTCTCCTACAACCCCACCCTGTGCCTGAGCGTGCTGCCCAATTATTTTTGAACAATTCCTTTATTTTTCTCATCTTTTTTTTTCCCCTTTCTTTTTAATTTCCTCTTCCCTTTTATTTTTCTCCCTTCCTGCAGCATCCTGGGCTGGAGGAGAGGAGGGGGATGGACACCTGGAGCAGGAGCAGCAGCCCCAGGCAGGCAGCACAGCACATCCTGGGCACTCGGAGCTGCAGGCAGCCAGACATGCTCAGAGCCAAAGGGAAAATCAAAGAGGAGAGGGAAAAGGCAGTGGAGCAGTTAATGAAGAGGCTCCTGCAGCAGGAACTCGGGCCATTCATCATCCTGCAGCCCTGCTCTCTCTGCTATGTGGCTTTGGCAGGAGGAGATGGCTCTGTCCAGCCATGCCTGGCATCCAGGGCTGCACCTCCCTGCTCAGAGCCACCAATGGGCCTGTCAGAAATGGGATTACAGAGCACAAACATGGGATTACAGGGATTGAGTGCTGTGCATCAGCTCCTCTGTGTGCACGGAGAGCAGGAGAACAATCCCACTCACAGCAGGGCACAGGGGACAGTGCAGGACATGTGGCAGTGGCAGTGACGGTCTCCAGGGCAGAGGTGACAGTGCAGAGGTGGCAGTGGCAATGAGGGTCTCCAGAGCAGAACGGACAGTGCAGGACAGGAGGTGTGGCAGTGGCAGTGAGGGTCTCCAGGGCTGGGGCTCCCTCAGGGCCTGTGCTGGGGAAGGTGCCCTGGGATGGTCAGGGCTGAGTGAATCCAGCAGCTCACACTCACAGGACAGGGTCCAGGTGTCACCCAGGGACGTGTGACAGCAGGGACCTGCTCTCCACTGGCCTGAGGTGACCAAAGCCACTCTGCTGGCTTGGCCTGGTAAGCCCAGAGCAGCCATGGGTGAGCAGCCTCAGCTTTTGCCATCACAC